GTTCGTTTGGATATCGTGGGAGGCCTCTCGTGGGCCTCTTGGAGGCAGATTTGAAGCCTCTTGGGGGCCGTTTGGGGGCATCTCGGGGCCTCTTTTTGGGCCTGTTGGGGGCCTCGTGGGGCCTCCAAGAAGGCCTCTTGGGCTCTGTTGGGGGCCTCGCGGTGCCTCCTGGGGGTCTTTCTGGGCGGAAGGCTCGGATTATCGGTTTGTGTTCCACCTCTGGGGTCCCTCTTGGGGCCGTCTTGAGGCCCTCTAGGGCGATCTTGCGCCCCTCTTGGGTCGCTTTGGGGGTGCCCGGGGGTGCCCGGGTGCCCAAGGGTGCCCGAATGCCCGGGTGCCCCGGTGCCCAGGTGCCCAGGTGCCCGGGTGCCTGGATGCCCAGGTGCCCGGGTGCCCAGGTGTCTGGGTGCGCAGGTGCTCAGGTGCCCAGGTGCCCGGGTGCTTGGTAGCTCTATAGCCTTATACCCTTATAGCTTATAGCCAGCCCCAGAGCCCCAGCCACAGAGCCCCCCAGCCCCAGAGCCCTAGAGCCCTAACAGCCCTATAGCCCAATTGTCCTATAGCGCTGATAGCCCTATAGCTTTATAGCCTTATAGCCCTATCGCCCTATAGCTCTATAGCCCTATAGCCCGATAGTCCCTATAGCCCTGTAGCCCTATAACCCCATCGCTTTAGAGTCCTGTGGCCCCATAGCCCTATAGCCCCATTGCCCTATTGCCCCAAACAAAAATCTGATTGGGATTTTCTCTGGTATCATATTTGTATATGTGTATGTGTATGTTTGTGCACATGTTCCCCAATCAGAGCTTGCCTCTGTAGGAGTCCTGGCGGTCTCATATCGTCAGGTGAGGTTCGTCGCCGATTTCGGTGCCCAGCCCGGGTGCCCGGGTGCTCGGGTGCCTTGGTGCCTGTGGGTGCCCTGGTGCCCAGGGGTGCCCGGGTGCCCGGGGGCCCTGATGCCCGGGTGCCCAGCCAGGTGCCCAGGTGCTTGGGTGCCCAGGTACTCGGTAGCCTTATATTTTTATGGCCTTATAACCCTATAGCCCTATCGCCCTATAGCCGCATAGCCCTATATCCCTGTAGCACCAAAAAACCTACAGCCCTATATCCCAATGGCTCTACAGCTTCATGGCCCGATAGCCTTATGGCCTTATATTCAAGTAGCCCTATAGCCCTATAGCCCTGTAGCCATATAGCCATATAGCCCTGTAACCCTATAACCCTATAGCCCTACAGCCTGATAGCCGTATAGCCCCATAGCCTTCTAGCCCTACAGCTGTATAGCCCTATAGCCCCATAGCCCTATAGCCCTAAAAAGGCTGGGTTTGGGTTTGGGTCTAAGTATATGTATATGTATGTGTTTATGTATTTGTTTATGCACGTGTATTTGTGTACTTATGTAGTCTATGTATATGTTCATGCATTTTTTGTATATGTATATATATATATATGCCTATATATATATATATATATATAGAGCTGCATGCATGTATTTTCTTTCTGGCGGATATGTGTGTATATGTGAATGCGTACACATATGTGTACGTATCCGTATATGTATGTGTAAACATTTTTGTACCTGTATTTGTATATGTGCCTGCATATGTCTATGTGTACGTCTCTGTGTGGGTCTTTGTGTTTGCATCTTCACATGAACATGTACATATACACATGTATTTGTATATGTATATCTGTGTGTATTTGTAAATGTAAAGGAACATGTTTACATACATGAGGATGTATGTATACACATACGTATACGTAGATGTACGCATGTATGTATGTGTATATGTTTATAGGTCCATACCTCTGAATGTGAAATTGTATACGTTGGGACATGTATATATGTATATGCATAGGTATATGCCATTGCCGTGTCTATGCTTATGACAATGTTTATGTTTATGTATATGTCTATGCAGCTGAGATTGTTTATGGCTGTGTATATGAATCAATATTTGCATATTGGTGCATTTATATCCGCAACTATATTGACATACGCATTTTTTGGGTATATATCTGCTTATGAGTGTTATGTATAGTATAGCAATATTCATAAGCCTATGTGTGTTTGCAGCTCTATATAATTATGAATATGTTTGTATGTATAGATGCATCCATGTTTATCGAACTGTGTGTGTATAACTATATTTATATGTAACTGTAGACGTCGATACATGCGTATATGGATATGTGTATGTTTATGCTTACTTATATGTGAGCATACATGTACTTGTATATGTATATGTATATGTCTAGGTATATGTGCATGTATATGTATGTGTGTATGTTTATGGCTACGTACATGTATACAATATGTTTTATATGCGTATGTAGAGTCGGATGTATAGGTCTATGCCAATGCCTATGTCTACGTCTATGTGTATGGCTATGTCTATGTCTGTGTCTACGTATATGTTTAGGTATATGTATATGTCCATGTGTATGTTCCCCAACCAGAGCTTGCCTCTGTAGGGGTCCTGGCAGACTCATTCCCCAATCAGAGCTTGCCTAGGTAGGGGTCCTGGCGGATTCATATGGTTAGGTGAGGTTTGCCACCGATTTCCGCGGCCCGCACGGGTGGCCGGGTGCCCGGGTGCCTAGGTGCCCGGGTGCTTGGGTGCCCGGGTGCCCAGGTGCCTGGGTGCCTGGGTGCCCGGGTGCCCGGGTGCCCTATAGCCCTATAGCCCTATAGTTCTACGGCCCTGATGCCCTATAGCCCTACAGCCCTATAGCCCTATAGCCCTATGGCCCTATAGCCCTATAGCCCTACAGCCCTATAGCCCTATAGCCCCATAGCCCAATAGCCCTATAGTCCTATAGCCCAATTGCCTCATAGCCTTGTAGCTCTATAGCCCTATTGCCCTATAGCTCTAATTCTAGCCCTATAGCATTAGAGTCCTATAGCCCTATAGCCTTATCGCCCTATAGCCCTATAGCCCTATAGCCTAATAGCTTTATAATCCTATAGCCCAGTCGCCGTACAGCCTTAAAGCCCTACAGCGCTATAGCCCTATGGCCCTTTAACCTTATAGCCTTATAGCCCTATAGCCCTGTAGCCATACAGCCCTACAGCCCTATATCCCTATAGCCCTATAGCTCTATATTGCTATAGCCCTAGAACCTTAGGGTTGTGTAGCCCTATAGCCCCATAGCCCCGTAGCCCCATAGCCCTAACAGGATTATGACAGCGTTTTTCTACGGTATCATTCCCTAATCAGAGCTTGCCTCTGTAGGGGTCCTAGCGGATTCATATGGTTAGGTGAGCTTTGCCCCCGATTTCCGTGGCCCGCCCGGGTGCCAGGGTGCCCGGGTGTCCTATAGCATATAGCCTTATAGCCCTATAGCCTTATAGCCCAATAGCCCTATAGCCCCATAGTTCCAGAGCCCAATTGCCCTACAGCCCTATAGCCTTGTTGCCTTGAAGCCCTATAACCCTATCGCCCATAGCTCCTTATAGCCCTATAGCCCTATCGCCCTATAGAGCTATAGCCCTATGGCCCTACAGCCCCATAGCCCAATAGGGCTATAGCCCCATAGCCCTATGGCCTCACAGCCTTATAGTCCTATATCCCTACGGCCCAATTGCCCTATAGCCCTACAGCCCTGCAGCCTCATAGCCTGATAGCCCTGTAGCCCTATAGCCCATATCGCCCTATCGCCTTATAGCCCCATAGCTCTATACCCTGTAGCCCTGTAGCCCTATAGCCCTATCGCCCGATCGCCCTAGAGCCCCATTGCCCTATATTTTATAGCCCTGTAGTCCTATAGCCTTACAGCCTGATAGCCCTGGAGCCCTAGAACCCTATAGTCCTATAGCCCTATAGCTCTATATGCCCATAGCCCTAGAGCCCCATAGCCCCATAACCCTATATCCTCATAGCCCTATGGCACTATGGTCCTATAGCCCTACAGCCCCATAACCCAATCTACTCATAGCCCTATAGCCCTATTGTCCTATAGGCCCATAGCCCCAAAGCCCCAAAGCCCCATAGCCCCATAGCCCTATAGCCCTACAGCCCTATAGCTCTATGGCCCTACAGCCCTATAGCCGTATAGCCCTGCAGTGCCATAGCCCTATAGCCCCATAGCCCGATAGCTCTATAGCCCAATAACCCCATAGCCCCATAGCCTTAACACGATGTTGGTTAGGTTTTTTTTTTTTCTGGTGTCAAGTGTGTCTGTATATGTTGATGTTCATGCACATGTAAATGTGTATCTGCATGCGCATGCATTTGCACATGTATTTATATGTATATGCATATCTAGATATGTATGTGTATACGTTTATGTATATGTATGTATATGTGTATATGAATTTGTATATGTATATGTATATGTAGGTCTGTTTATGTATATGTGTATGTATATATATATATATATATATGTATAAGTTTTATGTTTGTAGATGCATATGTATATGTATCTGACTATTTACATGCATGCGTCCATTTACACGTATAAGTGTTTGTACTTGCATGGGTGTATCTAGATATAGGTATTTGTATACGTTATATAAAGGTGTATATGCATGTGTATACAGATATGCATATGTATGCGTGTTGGTTCATTTGTGTATATATGTGTGTATATATACATATATATATATACATATATATGTATATGTATAGCAGAGGTCTGGCCGTTGGTGCTGATGGGGTGACATTCTGTGCCGAAGCACAGCTGGCGTTCTCGTGGAAGCCATGGCTCTCTGTCCTCACGAGACAGTTGCTGCCTCCCTCTTCCCCCTCCTGGCCGTGTCGCGCCACAGTGAAACCAGGGCGCCTTTTCTGTGGATGCTTACCCGAAGAAATCAGGTGTGCCTCGATGTCCTCTCAATCATCCCCACGCCCTCGGCAGAGTTACTGTACAGTCGGACTGGGATATAAGATCGGGGTCGGTTCGGGGAGGATGCCCTTGTGTTCTTCGTGCTTGTTGGGTGTTCTTGTGCATCCTGGGGGGTGAACCCTGCTGCCCGACCGCATCCTCCCACCGTGGAGGATTCCGACGACGAGGAGGGCGATATTCAGGACGGCGTCTGCCCTTGGTGGAGCTAGGCAGACTAGGGGAGTCGAGTAGGGAACAAGAGAACGGGATGATGCTGATGATGATGCTGATGATGATGATGAGGATGATGATCATGATTATGATGATGATGCTGATGCTGATGATGTTGATGATGATGAGGATGATCATGATCATGCTGATGATGGTCTAGGCCTCCTAGATGGGTCGGAGTAGATGGGGTCGGAGGATCGTGCCGCACCGCCGATGCATCGGCAAAGCATCGGCGATGCGGCTCGATGTGGGGCTCGATGTGGGGCTCGATTTTCTCCACGCCGTCGTCGCCGATGCATCGCCAGCGTCGCCAGTGCATCGCCGATGCAGCGCCGATGCATCGGCGATGCATCGCCGATGTACCAGTGATGTGGCGAGATCCTCCGACCCCATCTACTTTGACCTCAGATTTGACGCCTCTAGATGACGATGGTGATGATGATGGTGATGATGATGGTGATGATGATGATGGATGGTGGCGATGGTCTGACGATGACGATGGCGATGATGGTAATCGTTGCGGTGGTGAATATGATGAGGATAATGATGATGCTCATGATCATGCTGATGATGAGGTGGTGATGATGCTGATGATGATGATCATGATGATCATGATGATGATGATTCTGATGATCATGATGATGATGGGTTTGTGATGATTGCGATGATGATTGTGATGATTGTGATGATGGTGGTGATGATGATGATGATAATGATGTTGATCATGATTGTGATGATGATCTAGCCCCTGGATGGAGAATGAGTAACTGGGGTCGAAGGATCGTGCCGCAGCGCCGAAGCATCGGCGATGCATCGGGGATGCGGCTCGATGTGGGGCCTGATTTTTTCCACGCCGACGTCGCCGATGCATCGCCGACGTCGCCAGTGCATCGCCGATGCAGCGCCGATGCATCGGCGATGCATCGCCGATGTATCCGTGATGTGGCGAGATCCTCCGACCCCACCTACTCGGACCCCATCTAGGCGGCCTCTAGATGACGATGAGGACGATGATGATGATGATGATGATGATGATGATGATGATGATGATGATGATGGTGATGATGATGATGATGATGATGATGATGATGATGATGATGATGATGATGATGACGATGCTGATGATGATGACGACGACGACGACGACGATGATGATGATGATGATGATGATGATGATGATGATGATGATGATGGATGTGGTGGTGATGATGATGATGACGATGGTCTGATGATGCTGACAATTCTAATGATGATGATGATGATGATGCTTATGATGATGAGGAGGAGGAGGACGACGCGGAGGAGGAGGAGGAGGAGGAGGAGGAGGAGGAGGAAGAGGGCACAGAGAGTGTTCTCCTTCCTCCTTCCGCTCTTCCTCGGTCCCCTCCTTTTCCTGCTGCTTCTCCTCCTCCTTCTCCCCCCCCCCTCCCTCAGGAAAGAACATAGCATCCCCTCCCCTCCCCTCCCGCCCCTCCCCTCTACCACTGCCGCTTCCACTGCCACTACCTGGCCTTGCAATCGTCACCACCTCCGGGAGTCCCGTATTCATCACTGCCAGCATCGTCACGACAAGCCCGTGTACGCACACTTTTTTGTGGCCTCTCCGATTCCAGATCCGATTTTATTACTGCCTCAGAACTCGTTCCGACAGCAGCACGGACTTCTCCACCAACGAGCGCGTAGAGGATAACACCATCCTGCCGTCAACACGTTGGAATCAGGACCTCTTTTTTTTCGGAAGGGGCTCTAGGTTCCTGAGGTTCTCAGGTCCCTCCTTAGATGTTTCCTCGGACGCTCTTCGCAGATCTAGGCGCAGCCAGGGCCCTGAAGGGGCTTTTCACAAGCTTCCTTACGGCGAAAACTTAAGACTGTTCCATCATCACTGCCTGTACCACCAGCCGTTCCGACGGTAGCAGGGACGTCGGCGTCTTCAGGCATGATACAGAAGCTTTTTGAACACGATTGGGACATGCAGCGCCGTGCGCACCAGCTCTGCTGAAAGCAGGCGAGCATGAGATGCCGACCAGCACGTCGGTGGGTAGTGCCACCCGCAGCTGCACCAGCCACTCTAGCCGCATCGCTGACCATTTCGCCGATGACACGCGCACGTGCAACTGCCACTGCGAGCCTTACCATCACGAGCAGGACCAGCTGAGGCCGCGCGCGGCAGCACGCCACTCCGAGCAGTTCCAGGACGACCGGCAGCAGCACCGGGCCTACCAGCGCGCGTTTGGTGAGCAGCGCCACGCGACACAGCCCCAGCGAGACCAGGGGGCAGTTTCCAGGAGCGCCCCAGCAACCACCAGGTGGCGAGCAGCTGTGGCCTCCTGGGCGCCCAATCCCTTGCGCCGGCGTCGACCCATCGTGCGGGAACATGGCGAGCAACGCATCCTGGCATCCCCTCTTGGCAGCGTGGATCTTCTCCTTCCCCTCCTCCTCCTCCTCCTTCTCTTCTTCGTCCTCCTCCTCCTCCTTCTCCTCCTCCTCCTCTTCCTCTTCAGCGGGCAACTCCTCGACCTCCTCGGAAGCCATCGGCCATTCCTGGGATAATCAGGCCAGCAAAGCATCACAGCGCACTCACGCTTGGCTGCGTGGAGTTGCCTCTCCACTGTGTCGAGTCTAGCCGCCACTGCACCGAGGCATCGTAGCATGGCCCCATGCCGCTTGCCCTCGAGCCGCATTTGGCCGCTCACTGCACGACCAGACTTGGCACGCTGCGGTCCTTCAGCAGTTCCGGGATGAGTGCGCCCTCCCAGGAGTCTTTCTGGTGCCCGCGGCGAACGGGACCTCCGCAGACTGCGCCACGCCGAGGGGGGCACGATGCGTCTGGCGCCGCCGGCCGCAGCCGCCGTCTACCGCAGCCGTTTTCTGGGCGCCAGGGCCCCCAGCCGGACCGCTCGCCGCTCGAGGCGCCAAGCGGGCCGCCGTCCCCCTGTGAGGAGGAGGAGGAGGAGGAGGAGGACGAGGACGAGGACGAGGATGATGATGATGCTGATGATGATGATGCTGATGATGATGATGCTGATGATGCTGCTGCTGATGATTATGATGATGATGCTGATGATGATGCTGCTGATGATGATGATGCTGATGATGATGCTGATGATGATGATGTTGATACTGATGCTGCTGCTGATGATGATGATGCTGCTGCTGATGATTATGATGATGATGTTGATGCTGCTGATGCTGCTGATGATGATGATGGTGGTGGTGGTGGTGATGATGATGACGATGATGAAATGATGATGATGAAATGATGATGATGATGATGATGATGATGATGATGATGATGATGATGATGATGATGATGATGATGATGATGATGATGATGATGATGATGATGATGATGATGATGATGATGATGATGATGATGATGATGATGATGATGATGAATGATGATGATGATGATGATGATGATGATGATGATGATGATGATGATGATGATGATGATGATGATGATGATGATGATGATGATGATGATGATGAGCAGGAGGAGGGAGGAAAAGACAGGAGGAGGTGGAGGAGGGGTTCAGGACGATGGCGCCTGCGCAACTTACGCCGCTTACCTCTCTGGCCGCGAAGCAATTATGACGATGATGGGTCACGCCTCGCCGCCCTCCTCCACCCCTGTCCCCTCCCCTTCCCTCCCCCCTCGCAACCTCTTCCTGCCTCTTCTGGTCCCCTCCTCCTCGTCCTTCTCCTCCTCTTCCTCCTCCTCCTCCTTTTCACGCCCATGCTGTCCTGGAGTACGGTCCCTCCGTGTCCCTCCTCATGCCCCTCCTTCCCCTCTTCACTATTTCCTATTCCAGCCTCTTCCGCATCCAGGTCCTGGTCCCAACCCCCTCCTCGTTCCCACCCCTTCTCCTCCTCCCGCCCCCTCCCCTTCTCCTCCTCCTCCCTCTTCCTCCCTCTGCAGCCGTCTCCTCCCCCCCCCTCCCCCTCCTCCTCCTCCTCCTCCTCCTCCTCCTCCTCCTCCTCTTCCTCCTTCTCCTCCTCCTCCTCCTCCTTCTCCTCCTCCATCTCCTCCTCTATCTCCTCATCCTTTGCGCAGCGCCCCGCGAAGGAGGAAGATGACGAGTCCAGCTTAGACGAGGGGAGGCTGGAGCGTATGAGCGGAGGCGGGCCGCCGTCGGGGTCGCGCGCGGGGCGTGTGCTTCAGAGAGGCTGGCGACGAAACCAGCCAGAGGAGGGGGAGGATGAGGAGGAGGAGGAGGATGAGGAAGTCGAGGGGAGTGGAATGGATTATGGAGGATGGTGACCGAGGAAGAGCGATGACCAGGAGGTTGAGGAGGAGGAGGAAGAGGAGGAGGGGGAGGAAGCGACGCATCAGCAGGAGGAGGAACACGTAGGAGGGAGGAGGCAAGGTGAGGAAGGATGGGGGATGATCAAGATCGCCAGACCGAGCGAGTCAGAGGGCCCACCTATTTCCTCCTTCCCCCACAACAGCGTGATACTTACTTGTAGCACATCTTGGTATTGGGATAGGCGCTCACGCGCGGCCCCACCTCCGACGACTTGGCGAAGGGACGCCTATGCTGGCCGTGCAGGGGAGGGAGCGGCAAGACTTCAGATGGGCGCGGCGACGACGAAGCAGGCGCCGCGGTGGCACATCACTGCCACTTTCACTCGCAAGCTGCGCGGCGCCCGGGTGTGGTCCGCATTTCGCCCGCTCTCGCGCGGCCCCGCTGCCGTTTCCGCTCTCGTGCGATTCGGCGACCGGGCCATGCGTCGCGTCCGCGCGGGAACGCCTTTGCCGAGCGAATCGCGCACGGAGCCTGGGCGATGGCGACACGTCGTCCGCTCGCGTGGGCACCCCAGCAGTTGGCGAGTGACAAAAGCAGGTGCCCCGCTGATGCGGGAACGCCACCTTCCAGGCGACATTTGCACGATGCCGAGGCGAGAGCGACGCGAGGCTGCGTGCAATCAGTGTGCGCCGCGCCCAATCGGGATGTCGCTTGTCTGGAAGCGTGGGCGCGGCGCCGAGGCGGGAGCGACGTCTGGGCCTTCCGCGCGGGATGTGCGCCCCGTCCAGCTCCTGTCGCGCGCATGCTGCACCATGGGCGACGCGTGTCCGCGCTGAAAGCGAAGCTGTCCACCCTGCGCTGTTTCTAACGGGAAGCATGGGAGGTCTTGGGTTGACCAGCAGTGTGTGTTGTGCACTATGTGCGCGGCGGCCTAGGTGGTCCAATCTAGGTGGTGCAGTCAGTGTTATTCAACCTGTGTAGTGCCTTCCCTGTGGGGCGACTTCCGTGGGACAATCTGTGTGGCGAGTGCGTTGTGAACTCCGCTGCTCGCGCAATCATGCCGCCCGCTGGCCGCCCGCGCCTTGGTTTGCAAAACCAGTGCCGCGGCGATTGCGATGAGTACTTGGCGTTGGCTGCTGCATCTCCGCGGCCGCGCTAGCCCGCGCGTTCTCTCGCGCGCGCGGCGGCCGGCCAGTTTGGCGTGGCCGACGCGGCCGCAGTGGCGCTGGCCGCTTGGCACTTCCCAGCTGGCTGTCCAGTGCGAGTCTGTGACTTGGGCGGGCGCGGTATCGTGGCGACGCCGACAACGGTAGACGCGACTATGAGAGTAGCGATGGTGGCGAAGGTGGCGATGACGACGGCGAGGCTAATGGCGGCGCCGATTTTGATTGCGCCCTCCGATAACGTTGACGATGTCCTCGCGTCGGCGATGGATTTTCTGGAAGGAGTTCGACATGCGCGCGCGGCCGACTCGCGCGATCGGCCCGCGTGGTATTATTTGACGCGGATCGTGTCCCCCCCCGGCACGCGCGCGCGGCTGTTCGAATTGGTGCTACATGCGGCGCGAGAGGCCCTTTTGGCAGATTTCAGTGGACATGTTGGAAAAAGCAAGTGGTTTTCGTGCGAAGCTCTGCGAGCGCGACCGCGGGCTTTTCTCAAGTCCGCGTTGCGAAAATCTTGCGTTTTTGCATGTCCTTTGGACACTCAATTTGGCGATCCTAGCTAGACTTGAGGTTTTGGCGGCTTTCGGCGCGCGCGCGCGCGACGACGCGCGCGCGCTTCGTTTTTTGTTTTTTGCAGCGGATTTTTGCGGCACCGCGCGCGCAAAGGCGTTCGAGCGACTTCGACGCGCGCGCGAAAGCCGTTGGGCAGCATTTTATGAACCTGTTGAAGAACCTGTGGTTTTCACAGAAATTCGCAGGAGCGCGCGCGCAGGTTTTTTGTTGAGAGCTCTCGTTGCGAAGCATTTTTTGGAACGATGCAGATTTCGGCGCGCGCGCGACGGCGCGCGCGCGTGTGTTTTTTGTCTTGTTTTTTTGTTTTGTGTTTTTGTTGTTTCCTCTCCTGGGGGTTCCTGACATGTTGGGATTTGTGCTAAACGGGTGCGCGCGCATGGTGTTCTTTTGCAGAAGGAAGGGGGGGGGGTCGATGCTGGTTTAGTTGGGGTGATACGAAGAGTTCGTGTTTCGGATGTACAACGGGGCGGGCCCGTTCAGTCCGGGAGGGGGGTCAGATTTTGAGTCCCTCTGGGAAAGGCAAGTGCAGGTGGCGAAACCTACGTTGCGCATTTGACTTTGCCGAACTTGATGTTGCCAACTCCACTGCTCGCGCAATCGCCCCGCCCGCCCACCTGCAATTGGTTTTTGCAAGACCCGCGCGGCGGCGATTGCGATGTCTGCGGCTGACCGCGGGGGATTTCCCAGCGCGTCTCGCGGGCCTCGCTGACGCGCGGGCACATCAGTGCGAGTCGGTGGCTCTGGCGGGGTCGGTATCATGGCGACGCCGCCAACGGCGGGCGCGATGGTGATACTAGCTGTGCTGGTAGCGGCGATGTCGATGACGATGGCGCGGACAATGACGGTCCCGATGCCGAGCGAGCCGGTAACGATGCCGGCGCCCGCGTGTCGGCGATGAAGGTATTCAAAGGATTTCGACGTTCGCGCGCGGCCGACGCGCGCGAGTGCACCGCGTGGCTTTATTTGACAGAGGCCGTGCCCCCCCCCCAGCGCGCGCTCAAGGGCCGTGAAATGATTTCGACGCGCCGCAACAGGCCCGTTAGGTCGCATCTGATGAACATCTGGAACATATTTTGTTAAAGAACTCGCGAGGGCCTGCGCGTAATATGTCCCAACCCTCCTTGGTTGGGTATTCGTTTTGAATAGAGCAGTGTGGTCTCCACTCCCTCCTTTCCTCCCTCCTTCCTTCCCGCCTCCCTCTTGCCTCCTCCTGTCTTGCCTGCGGGGGGGCTGCGATCTGTGAAACTGTCGCCACTTTCGAGGCCTGCTGGGGGGCCCAGCACAGTGACGCCACGGGCGGATTCAAATTAGACCTCGCCGTCCCTGGGGGGGCTGCGATCTGTGAAACTGTCGCCATTTCGAGGCCTGCTGGGGGCCCAGCACAGTGACGCCACGGGCAGATTCAAATTAGACCTCGCCATCCCTGGGGGGCTGCGATCTGTGAAACTGTCGCCACTTTCGAGGCCTGCTGGGGGGCCCAGCACAGTGACGCCACGCGCGGACCCAAATTAGACCTCGCCATCCCTGGGGGGCTGCGATCTGTGAAACTGTCGCCACTTTCGAGGCCTGCTGGGGGGCCCAGCACAGTGACGCCACGGGCAGATTCAAATTAGACCTCGCCATCCTGGGGGGCTGCGATCTGTGAAACTGTCGCCACTTTCGAGGCCTGCTGGGGGGCCCAGCACAGTGACGCCACGCGCGGACCCAAATTAGACCTCGCCATCCCTGGGGGGCTGCGATCTGTGAAACTGTCGCCACTTTCGAGGCCTGCTGGGGGGCCCAGCACAGTGACGCCACGGCGGATTCAAATTAGACCTCGCCATCCCTGGGGGGCTGCGATCTGTGAAACTGTCGCCACTTTCGAGGCCTGCTGGGGGGCCCAGCACAGTGACGCCACGCGCAGATTCAAATTAGACCTCGCCATCCCTGGGGGGCTGCGATCTGTGAAACTGTCGCCACTTTCGAGGCCTGCTGGGGGGCCCAGCACAGTGGGGCCACACGCAGATTCAAATTAGACCTCGCCATCCCTGGGGGGCTGCGATCTGTGAAACTGTCGCCATTTCCGAGGCCTGCTGGGGGGCCCAGCACAGTATATTCAAATTAGACCTCGCCATCCTGGGGGGCTGCGATCTGTGAAACTGTCGCCACTTTCGAGGCCTGCTGGGGGGCCCAGCACAGTGACGCCACGCGCGGACCCAAATTAGACCTCGCCATCCCTGGGGGGCTGCGATCTGTGAAACTGTCGCCACTTTCGAGGCCTGCTGGGGGGCCCAGCACAGTGACGCCACGCGCGGACCCAAATTAGACCTCGCCATCCCTGGGGGGCTGCGATCTGTGAAACTGTCGCCACTTTCGAGGCCTGCTGGGGGGCCCAGCACAGTGACGCCACGGGCGGATTCAAATTAGACCTCGCCATCCCTGGGGGGCTGCGATCTGTGAAACTGTCGCCACTTTCGAGGCCTGCTGGGGAGCCCAGCACAGTGGCGCCACACGCATATTCAAATTTGACCTCGCCATCCCTGGGGGGCTGCGATCTGTGAACCTGTCGCCACTTTCGAGGCCTGCTGGGGGGGCCAGCACAGTGACGCCACGGGCAGATCCAAATTAGACCTCGCCATCCCTGGGGGGCTGCGATCTGTGAGACTGTCGCCACTTTCGAGGCCTGCTGGGGGGCCCAGCACAGTGGCGCCACGCGCGGACCCAAATTAGACCTCGCCATCCCTGGGGGGGTTCGATCTGTGAAACTGTCGCCACTTTCGAGGCCTGCTGGGGGGCCCAGCACAGTGACGCCACGCGCGGACCCAAATTGGACCTCGCCATCCCTGGGCTGCGATCTGTGAACTGTCGCCACTTTCGAGGCCTGCTGGAGATTCCCGCTTTCGAAGTGGCTACTGCTGGTTTGGACCTCGCCATCCCTGGGGGGGCTGCGATATGAGATTCCCGCTTTCGAAGTGGCTAGGGTTGCTCAGGGATTGTAACTAATCAGCTTTATCTAGTCCTTGTCCTGTAGCCAGTGTCCTGCGAGTCTCCCGAATTCCGTCTGCAGACATATGTAACCCTCGCTCCGTCATCGCCCTCCTTATAAAGTGTCCTAAACTATTTGCGCGGCATTTTTTCCAAACCCTCCTTGGTTGGGTA